GAACCGCTCACACACAATTATTTTAAAATCAACTTTACAAAAAGCTACCGTCACCATTGAGTGTCATATTTTCATTTAATTCTAATATAGTAAGTTCATTTTCTATAAAATATGTTGACATCCTTTTAGGTCTACCTTTGTCTTTCTTAACATAAGTCTCTCCTAACCGGATCATCAGATGGTCGACTATTAATATAACCAAACAATCTAAGACGACCATTTTATTCTCCTCAACATGATTTATTTAAAAGAAAAGATAGAGAAAGAATAATATCAAAATAACAGAAATAACCTTGTCATATTATAACCATGCAAATATTCTTATTTTCTGGCTACACAACCACAAATCCACATAAAACTATATAGAAATGAATAAATAATAATCATATAAGGTAAGGCTCTCAAAAAATTACCTGGAGTTAACCGTGGCCCTGCATCTCAAGCATTTCATCAAGAACCTTCAGTCTCTGCAATCCTTCACTGATCAGGAATCGAATTTTCTGTTGGTCATCACAATGCCTGTTCTTCTCCATTTCAAGCCTAATTGTCAGCCTGAGATCATCTGGCAAAAAGCCTTTCCAGTTCAGTTTCGAAGTTATAGAAGCATTGAATCCATTCTCTTTAGCAAAAGATTAATTAAAATATTGGAAAGCTTACATACATACCATACAATTCTTATGTATTTACATATCTAATACCGAAAGTTTGATATTTATGATTATAACATTTTGTTGTCATAAACCTATGCATGAAAAGGTATGCTTTACTTCTAAAAAATTAGTAGAAGTGGAATTTTAGATGTGATATTAAAAATTTGAGTGTTATGATGTGAATATGAAAGTATAGGTATTTTATGTGTAAATACATTATAATTATGTGGTATGTATGTAAATGCCCCAAAAATATTTTTAACAGCCAAAGTTTATGGTAACAAAAAATCATTCAGCATGTAGTAGCAATAAGCACCAACTTGTTTAGTAGGTAAGGCCTTGGTCAAGATCCTCAAACCAAATCTCACATATAACAACAAAAAAGTTAAGATGTATGAGGTAGCTAAATTTTAAATTTAGCTTAGATTGAACTAAATCATTCAAATATTATGATAAAAGGTACAAGATGTGTGAGAGAAATGAACAATATCTTCTAAAAGGATGGCATATATATGATATTCTCCTCCTAAAATTTCCTTTTAATCTAATCTAAAGTTCTATGTGTGGATTGAGTTTCTTCAAAATTTGTGTTCATGTAACAAATCATCCAAGCACATGAGAACTACAAGGATGATTGAATGATGTATAGATGCACTTTCAAAGTCTAGTTTCACCAATATATTCATCAATTAGAATCTCGAGGCATTTATAATATTAAAATCTTCTTGAAAGAAAAAAATAATAATTCTCCTAAAAATAGAAAATTTCGCGTGTGCGTGTGTGTGTATTTGAAGGAATGGCCAGAGGCTATTATACA